CACCTGGGGGTGGAGGAGCCCGGGAGGCGGGAGGCGCCGGGGCCGTTTAAGCGGCCTCCCTCCCGCCCCCAGCCGCCCGCTCCGGCCCGGGTTCTGCGCTGCCCCCCAGCCTGGCCCCGCTCCGGCCCTGCGGCTCCCGCGGCGGCCTCGGGAGCAGCCCAAGCCCATGAGGGCCGCGCGCCCCGCCGCCGGTGCTAAGCAGACGGAGCTCCGGGCCCCCGTGGAGGAGCGGAGGATCAATGCGGTTCAGGAACCGATTCCAGCGGTGAGAGCGCGGCGGGGTCCCCGCATCCCGGGAGCTCCTGGACCAGCTCCCGGGGAAGCCCCGTCCTGCAGTCCCGAAGCGGTCCCCGTCCTCCGGACGGCTCGCGGGCTGCGCCCCGGAACCCGGCGCCTGCCCTGCTCCTCGGGATCTGCGTGCACACCCAGCCTCACCCTCGCGGTCGCGGTCCAGACAGGGCTCCTGCCAGCTCCCAGGACCCTCCCCCGGCCCCAGCGCCTCCCCCGGAGCCCTCCATCCTACAAACCCCAGGGTGGGGGTCTCCCGGCGGCGGCTGCACCCTGCGCGGAGATTTAGTGCCGAGGAGGGGGCCTGGCCTGAACGCTTTAGGTGTTTTCTCTGATTGGCCTCAGCGACAGGGAAACTGAGGCACGCTTTCCAGGGACCAGCCTTGCCTGATGGAGCCGGGGCCTTGCTGGTTTCCGGGCAAGGAGTCCCAGGGGTTGTTACTTGGAGCTCCAGGCAGGGGCAAGTTAGCATTCAGGTGAAGAGACCTGCCCTCGAGCCGCCTGGTTTAGGAAAGAAGGAGGAAGGACAGAAGAGGCGCCACCGGAAGGCAGGTCTTCTGGTGGGGGACACTGGGTGGAGAGGCACGCTGGCCCTTGTCCTCTCGGGGTACATGCCCTGAAGTAATGGTGAAAGCTGCTGGCCCATGGATCCCACAGGAAGCTCTGGGCTTTTCTGGTCCGTCTAAGTGGGTGAAGGTTCACCCCTCTGGGTTTCTGGTAACTCCATCCTTTTGTCTGAGTCTGGCAGCCATACCTATTCTTAACCCTTCACCACAAATAGGGTAGTGTGAGGTGTCGGGGGAATCCGAAAGCAGAAATGCTCCAAGTCTTCCAAGCAGGTTATTGTTGAGATTTGAGGCACTCCCTTTTATTGTTTCAGAACTTTAAATGCACATTTTTTTTTTCTTTCCGGCATTTTCCCTCACTGTCCACTCACCCATTACTAATCTTATCTCATTCCTCCCCAGTCCCAAAGGCCAACACGTACACTGGATGCGTGTGGTGTGTGCAGTCAGGAGAGGAGGACTGAAGGCTTGGGTTGGCTTCTGAATATTTGGGGGTTTGAACGCCACGCACTGTTCCCAAAGGGAAACTACAAATCAAGGCTGAAGGCAAAAGGGAACCTCGGTGTTTCTCCATGAGAATCCTAAGTCAGGGGCGAAGGGGGTTTAATGGAGAATGTAACATTCCTGCATTGAAACATGGTTCTTGAAGCCCTGTGCATGCGGTTTGGTTGGTTTGGTTTTACAGCCTGCATGTCTGTGTGCTTCCTGCTTTCAGAGAATAGGCTGTATTCTGTGACATGACCCTTTCCCTATTCGATGAAGAGTTTGTATGTCTCTTCTATCCCTTTGAATTCTAATACAACAGGAAGAAAAAGAGTCTGTTTTATTTGTCACACCAACATTGAAACAGCTCTAAAATAAAACAAAAAACCAGCTGATTGAACTGTCCATCTTTTGAATGGACAGAATTTGTACTCATCCTGTGTTGGACTCTTTTAGCCCTTAAAAAAATTTAAATACAGGCATCATCTTTCAGTGTAGCATAGACTGCAGTTCTTCTTAGTGGCTGTGATTATTGTACTTTACAGATATTTACTTGCATCTTTCTTTTGACCCCCTAGCTATACCCTGATTTCGATTGAAGACTGAACTAATTCCTTCATTTCCTGTTTCTTTATTATAGGCTAGATTGGAAAGCTAATTTTAAGCATCAATTTGAACTTAAAAATGAAGCCTGCAGATAAAAAGTAACATAACAAGAGTCCTGATTTTTATTATTCACATGTTAAAATGCTGAAAATAACCATTCTACACCTTTCAAAGTCCTGTTCATTACATGTTTCTGTAAGCATTCTCCTTGGTTACCTGTAGATACAATTACACAGGAACCGCATGGAGGGACACATTGAACTAATGTGTTCTTTTACCTGGTAGACTAATCGGGACTTGGGTGAGGAACATTTGGTTGCAGTAAAAGCATTTCATTGGACAACAGTGTGTAGCTATGCCTAGATTACAAGAACACCTTGCAGATTTGTTCATAGTGGAAATTTGGTGGTTACTGTGGCTTTGGATCACCTAGGCTTCTGCCGTTTGGAAGTGGGCTGTAAAAAACAGTTTGAGATCCCAAGTGGAGAGTTTAAAGCAATCATGGCTTCTCAAAAAGCTTAGGCTGTGAAAAATTCCCCTGGGATACAGCATATTTTCCACCTTGCTTCATCCCTTTCACAGTTAAGTCTGTCAAGATTCCTAGACACACACACACACACATTCTTTCCCTTCTGCCAAAGATACTAACTGCTAGCTTCATTGAATGCCTGCTTGTGCCAGGCACTGGCTGGGTAATTGTATATTTCTCAACTTACATTCAATTGTCACTCTGGAAGACAAATTTTATATGTACTTGAAAAGCAGAAAAAGTTTAGAAAGTAAGAAAAGTCCTTGCCTGCAGTCATCAAACAGGTAGGAAGAGGAAGGCCTTAGAGTTCAGTTTCATGCCTGTTTCTCTACCACCCTGACTACTAAATCACTGTTTCTCTCTCCCAGCTGGAAAAGAATGCTCTTTTCCTCTGCTCAATCTGATGACGACTGATGAGATTTAAAATTGAGTGCATGAGAGAACATCTGATTCAAAATCCAAAGTCAGGACTGGAGAGATGGCTCAGCAGCTAAGCACTGGCTTTCTTACAGAGGACCTGGTTTTGAGTCCCAGCATCCACATGGTGGCTAACAGCCATCATAACTCCAGTTCTAAGGAATCCAACACCCTCTTCTGACCTCTGCAGGCTTTGCTCAACATGGGTGCACTTACATACATGCTGGCAGTACACTCATACACATAAAAATGAAAATATTTAAAGCATTAGAAAGTCTTCTAGAGCTGCCTGCTGTCTCTTTTTGCATTTTCTTAGTGTGTCATGGACATGAGGTGGTCTTGTCTGTGCCTTCTTTGGAGTGCCATTGTTGATACTGGGCACTGCCTGAACAAATGCCACGCTAGGTCCTAAAGGGGAGTGTGTATAGATGATGTGTGCCAGTACCCTGGGGTATCCATTGTCTTGGCCTTTGAGGACTCCCCCCACCCCCAAGGCTGCCTGTCTCTCTTCCATATGGAACCTGTGCAACCTCCAGTAAAACTAAATTGACTGTGGGTTATCTCTATAGCTGAAGGTCTATATATACAATTTTTTAATCCATTCAACAGTTACTCATTAGGCTTCAGCAGTAAGGTAAGCTTGAAACTGGAAATAGTGAATCCCATTGTGGGATTCATATTACATTGGGGAAAGATGAAATAAAATGTTTAGAAGCCACATTTTTACTCTTAAATTAATAAGGATTCTATGTGGGAAGGGCTGAAGCGACACCTTACATAGTAGGATGGTCTGGTAAATCTCTCAGCAGGTGACGTGAGTTGGGCTTGAAGGATGACAAGCGAGTTGAACATGCTGGGAATATGCTAGGCAGAAATAATAGCCAGTGTCTTGAGAGAGATGAGACTTTCCTGGGTCAAAGAGCAGGAAGGAGGTGGTATAGCTAGAGGGTGGGTTGACGGGAAGGTGGTACCTTGAGTTTGGGGGAGTGAGAGCCAGCCCACTGGGGACTCATGGACCAGGAATGCATCAGAGTATTACCCTAAGAGCTTTGGGAAGCTAAAAGTGAGCTTTAAGTTGGAGTAGGGGTGTGTGACATGGTCTGTTTTTAATAGACTTAAGACTGCCATTTGAAGAAGAGAGCCTACATGGGGACAGGTGGCACTTCCACAGGTTGGAGATGTTGCATGCTGGTGGCCTGATTTAAAGTAGGCACTATGAAGTCATAGTGGTCAATTAATTTGAAAGATACTTTGAAAGTAGTGTTGACAGTACTTGGGCTTCGAGACTGAGGAATGCAGGAGACTCAACCTGTAGGATTTGGTGTTAGACCTGTGAGTTCTTTTAATTTGTAACAGACCTGCATTCTGAGGCCACAAGTGCTTTGAGTTGGATTTAATGTGCTAATGGGTTGACGTCCTTGCCTCACTGTTCTTTCCCTCCATCTTTTTGAGATTTTTGCCATGGGACGAGGAACATCACAATTACCCGAACGCTGGAGGCAGAGGAGAGTATTAAGACAGTGAGGACATAGTGAACACACCCTGCTCCACTCATCTGTTAAATGGGATTCCCATGCTCAAGACTAAGTCAGGGCCTCGCAGATGTGCCATCCTACAGCCCATGGGCTGCATGTGTCACAGGGTAGCTATGGATGGGGCCTAACATTTGTTGATGATGGTGGTCAAAAGATCAGACACCCTTGCAGCTGGCTACTCTGCTCAGAGCTTTGAGCACCCAGCTGGTTACTTCTTGTTAGATGGAGATATTTCCATAAATGGGGGCCTTTTCTGTCACACTTTCTCATTCTTTTGTGGGGGGGAGAGTTGAGGCTCAGCATGTGGGAGTTTATTTGCATTTTACATCTGCTTTTCCATTTAGGTCTTAGGAATGATTTCTTCAGAAACTGTGGAGGAGGCTTGATTGCACCCTGGCAGACTAAGAGAAATGGAAAAATTGTATTATAATTTCCCGGCAGAACAATTGTGCTGTCTATCCCACTGAGCCTCAGACGGTACAGTGCTCCCAGGGTAGTTGCTCTTGCCTTTGCTTATGGTCTGACGGTCACCCATCCCCCAGGACAGGGTGCTGAGGGCACCAGAGAGCAGCATGTTTCTCTACAATTTCCATCTTTTTTTAAAAAATGTACATGTGTGTGTATGTACATGTGTCTGGGTACATGCACGTGGAGGCCAAAAGTCAATATCAGTTACTTTCTTCAGTCACTCTCTGGCATGATCCAGGTAGGCTGTGCTAGCTGAGGGATGCACCTGTCTCCACCTCCTCAGTATTGGGATTATAGGCATGCACCCCAGCACTCAGCTATTTATGTGCTTGTTTATTTATTATTTATTTAGAGTGTGGGTGATGGGAATGGAACCCAGGTCCTTTCACAGCAAGCACCTCACCCACTGAGCCATTTCTCCAGCCCCTCCCCCCTTTATTTTTAATTTGAATTATTCCTGCTAGGCATTGACTAAGCTGTCACAGACATGGCCACCCAGCTTCTTCCCTTGAAAGAGAAAATATGAAAGTCTATCCCTGTTGCTGTGTAATGGCCTGACTATTTTTAGACCGGACTGCCTGAGATATAAATTGCTATTTTAGTCTGTAGCCTGGTGATTGGTAGACAGCTCCTGCTTACTGCACCCTACATGGAATTCTTACTGTTTTATATGTCCTCAACCATTTTGGAGCCCCATTCTCCACCCTTTGAAATTCCTTGTAGGGGATGTTACATAGAACATGGTGGTTGTGTCTCAGTGTGATGATATGGTATCTCCTTCAATGCTCAGGTCCTTTCGAAAGCATTCTTCTCAAGGGTATAATTATTTTTCTTTTTACTAATAAGAGCTGTATACTAACACTGTGTCCCTTAGGAAATTAGCAAAATAATTTAAAGACTCATTAGGGGAGAAAAGAAGAGACTTAGAATCTGTGTGAGGACAGCTTGGACACATTCTGAGGACACTGGGTATGTTACTTCTCCAAACATTTTCAAGCTGTGTAGTAGATACACTCAGTCCGTAGAGGCACTAAACAGCTAACCCATCAGTGACCCAGGTGAAGTACTGTCCCCGTCCCTGTTTCATCATGTAGTTCATGTTCTGCATGGTCCACCTGATTTGTGTGTATTGGAGTTAACAGGGACTGCCATTGTATCTTTACATATTTGATGTGAAGATGTCAGGGTAAAAGTGTTAGTGTTTTGTTTAAAAACATTGTTTAAAGCCAGGCGTGGTAGCAGATGCCTTTAATCCCAGCACTCAGGAGGCAGGATCTCTGAGATTTCTGGGAGTTTCAGGCCAGCTGGGGCTACAGGGAGACCCCCATCTCAAAAAAACAAGCACTACAACAAAAGAAAAACGCTGTTTAGAATAGCTTCGTTATGCATTTGAGTCGGTTTTTGTTTGGGGGGGGCAACTTGACTCTGCCTTTGGGTCATTGTGGTACCATTTTCCATCATGCGAATGGCTGATGTGTGACAAGTCAGAATTGCTTAGTGGAAAAAAGCAAACAATAAGGGGAAAAAAAGGACAGAACACCTTTCTCAAACTATCTGGAACAAAAGATAACTCTTGGTTGGTCTTGGTTTTCTTTCACTACCTTTTCAGTGCTGAGTATGTTGAGGTGCAACTCTGGAACCTCAAAGCTATCCAGGTTTTTTTTTTTTTAATCTTTTTTAACTTAAAAAAAACTTTATTGAGAATTTCATACATGCATATGAGGTGTTTTGATTAAATCCACACCCACTCACTCCCCTCCGACTCCTCCCATGGCTTCCCATCACTTTTTTCTGAACACCTTCATGTGCCTTCCTTTCTTTTTCCTTCTTTCTCTTTCTCTCTCTCTCTCTCTCTCTCTCTCTCTCTCTTTCTTTCTTTCTCTTTCTTTTTCTTTTTTAAATGGGGCTTTGTGCTACTATAACATTACCCCTTTGAAGAGGTAACCCTAAAATCTTTTAAGTATTAGATAAGAGCTTCCAAGTACTTTTGTTATTTTTGGCCTTTGGAACAGAGTATGTTGCTAAGAGGCCCAAGGACATTTTGACTTTTAGCCAGGAAACTGGCTACTTTTCTTTGGGGTCTTTTTACCCTAACTGCCTAGCCAGTTCCTACCTCATTTTCTTACCTACACCTATTCTTACCACACCATCTTCTGAAGAGATTACCCAAATTGCTGATAGGGAGTTGAGACGCAGACCACTCTGGCTTCTTCCATGCTGAACAGGGACACAGGGTGAGGCAATTGAGGTACCCCTTCAGTGGTCTATTTAAAAGACTCCCAAATTGCATAACTCTTATCTGTGGGAAGAAAAGAAAGTCCTTGACTGCTGAATAGGAGATGTGAAGGAGAAGTAAAGGCAAGAGTAGTTAGCATTACAAGTTCTAGACAGAAAACCAGAAAAAAGAACAGGGCAAGTTTCAAATGTTCATATCAGAGTCCATTGATATTTCTTGACGAGACCTTCCAAAATCATCCCTCTGTTGGGTTCCTTTGCCTGCCAAGGCTGGACTTGAGAGTGATGGATTCAGGATTTGCTTTGAGGTATTTTGGTAGCTGTTGGAGTGGTCAATGTCAGTTCCCTCTCAAAGGCTTCTAGATAGGGGGAGAAAACAAATTTATCCATTTTAGGACAATAGCGGGTTGTCTCCCTTAGCTACAGGTGGGCATTACAGAATTGCAGACCAACATTTGAAGTTTTACATATGAGCAGCACTTTCTGATTACGAACAAAATCATCAGTGAGAAATAATTGTCTAAATAATTATTTATATGGACTTCAGCCTAATGTCTGGGACATGTAATCCCTTGAACTCTTGAAGAAATATACTGATGACTTTACTCTTTGGTTATACTTTCCTTTTGGGTGTTTAAGACCATATAGTTGGCTCAAATAAATCAATTTATTTTTACACTTAAGGTCGTTTGAGGATTTGTTCCTCGGGGGTCACATGAGCTTGGGAAGAGCCCCAGCTCCTTTCTTTTACCAGTTCCATCTATGTGAAGATAAGTCAAAGGTCCTGCTCAACCATGGTTGGCTTCACTTGGAAGCATGGAGGAAATGTTTCCTCTGAGTTGACCCTCCTCTTTGTAGACTGGACACTGGTTCAAGTCCATCTTGTGGGGTCTCCATGGCCTCCCTGAACAAGCGGACAGGTGACTCTCCACAGTTACAGGACGTTTTGAGAGATGTTCCATAGTCAAACATCCAATAAGGTTAGTTCCACCAGTCTGGTACTTTTAATATCATGTGCTATGTAGATAAGGCTTAGGCACAAAACCAAATATTCTCAGATAAACCTTGACTAGATACATATTTTTTTCCTTAAATGACTAAATGTCCTCAGAAATTTTAAGATTATGTGTATATTATTTTTGTATCATCCTTTATATATTATAACAAACCTATACAGACCTTCATCACTTGCTTAGCCTTTCTCATTTTTTTCTATTTTGGAAAATAGCTCCATTCCCATATCCTTTTAACATCTTTTACAGTCTCATTTTCTTTTTTTTTTCTTTTTTTAAAAATAATTATGATACATAATAGCATTAAGTAAATTTTAAGTAAATTTAAGTAAATTAAGTTAGTATTCATGCTCAGATGCCGAGGAGCTCAGAAGGTGGGCGACTGTGACCAGTGATAGTCATGTATATAGAGATTAGAAATGCATGTGAAAACGTCTCAATGTCAATTGCTTTGGAATGAATTCTTCTGTATGAAAAAAAAATTAAAAAAAAATAATGATTAAAAAACAATAATTAGTAGATGTGAAAAACATTACCATTGAAATCTACCTGATGACTTTATATCCATGCTCAGATGCCTAGAAGCTCAGAAATTAACTGAGTGTCACTAGTAATAATCAGATACATAGAGATTAGAAATGCATGTGAAAACGTCTCAATG